AAATACATGTTATCTTGTTAATAAAACTTATAGTAAGAAGAGGTAAAGGGTAATATTTCGATAGAATTAGTAGAGGTTGCGGACATGATGAAAACATATAAAAGGTAATTGTACATTGTGCAGCGACCCCCTCGGGGACGTTGACGGAATGTTTCGTCCGGAAATCTAACAAAATTTGTCCGAAAAAAAAATGGCGCCCGAGAAAAAAATCCGTGTGCGTGGTGAGTTAAAGAGTTACAAAGGGTGTTCAAAAAAAATTATAAAAAAAATATTCATTTGTAATAAACCGCCGAAAAAGGATAAAGAAATTTTCAAAACGGCATAAAAAAGTGACAGTTGACGGGAGACGAAAAAAATCCTACTTATTAGTCACCTACGATGTCTTGAGCGTCTGTTAATTATGCATACTCACTTCGATAGTGCACCCAAATCTCGGAAAAGGGATCAATAGGATGTTTGCGCGACTTTTGTACGATTTTTTGAGATTTTTTGCGTTTCCATGAAAACCGCTTAGCGAATTTTGACGCCGATTTTTTTTCGGAAGCATCTTGTGCGTATACACCTTACGTCCGAGTTTCTTTGAAATCCATTTATCTGTTCGGACGGTACGATTTTTTAAAGTCGCCCGGAAACCCCTCATACGAAATGGGTGCGAAAAAAAATGGCGCCCGATGAAAAATGTGTGTGCGTTGTGAGGTAGAAAGAGGCAAGGGGCAAAAATATTCAAAAAATTATTCGCTACCATTAAAACGTCATCTGATAACGAAATGAAATATGCTTCAAAGGCATGTAACAACATTGTACTTTACCAAATTGCGCCTGTGCCAATCCCTATCCTGAGCAAAATCGGTAAAAAAAATTATGCCTAAATATTAACTAAAAATTATTTTTTCCAATAGTGAAAATTGCTAAGAAATATTTGGTCCTAGAAAAGAAAAGGTAAAAGAAAAAGCCAAATTTCACTTAGGTTCGAGCAACTTTATAATTGGATGAAAATCCCGTATATTGAGATCATTTCGAATAGGTCAAAGTTATTTACTTTTTATACACAAACTTTTATTTATTCAAACATTTCCATGCGAAACGACAAATAAAAAAGTTTTCCATATATGTAAACAACTGTATATCATAAAGTTGATAGGTACTTACAGAAATTAGTAAACACAGGCAATTACTTAAACTTATCTATAAAAGTTAATAAATTATAGATATTAATTTATAGTATTGTCCCCTTGTCTTTTTTGAACCCCTTTATTGCGTCCCCGGAAAATGTAAATATTTTGTAAATCTTGACTAAGTTTACTTTAATTTAACACCACTGTAGCAAATATAAAGAGATATTGAGAGATTTAGTAATATAAACTGCTCACGGAATTAGACTTTATATGAAAATCCTTTGGAGATCAGTAAGGCACCAATCATATAATATTAACGTTTATTTCATTTTCATTTCATTTCAAGAAAAACAGTAATAAACAGGTAAATTTAAACAATGGTAAAATAAACATAACTAATCAAAGCTTTAAATCTAGACCTTGTTTGTGATGTGTTTGAGGCTTATTTTGGTAGATTCCTAATCTACACAAATCTACTATTACCAAAAAGTCTCTTAAACATATCTAATTAATATCTTATGTACATCTAAGTACAGGGTGTCCCAATGAAAAGTAGCTCATTTCCAGAGCTTATAACTTTTAAACAAATCGTAGAAACATGCGGTTTTTGCTGATATGTGACACAGAAATTATATATTACTTATACAGGGTGTTTTATAAAAATATCCCCTTTTAAATTCGTCGTAACCAAATTTTATCAAATGGAAACGGGCTACTTTTTATTGGGGCACCCTGTATATAAAATAGAGAATAAAATAAAATTTAAAAAAGTAAAAGAAACGGACGGTATGGGGTAAGTACATATTTTTTAATTATTATGTTACTAAAAATTTTAAATATATTTTTAAGTTCTGATGGCATAGAATTAAATAATTTGGAGCCTATATACTCTTTTCACATATAGGAATTTTTACGTTTTGATCTCGCCTACGTGTGGTTGTAATGATGCTTGATCTCTAGAAATTTTAGTCCTTTGACAGTTGTTACAAATTACTAACATCTTTATTTTTATGAGGTCAGATGAACAGGGATTTTACAAGATGTTTTTATTCTAGGATGTGTTAAATTATGTTAGAGTGTTGAAAATAAGTTTTCTGAATTCCTTTGGAACAAACGGTCGATGTTATTTACGCCTTTTGTCATAAACTAAGGTAAGTGATGAACAATTTAAAGGAAATTCTTTGAAAATAAAGAGATGTAGTGTTGGAATTTATTAATTTTAGCAGTTCCGATTTACTTTTTGTGTCCATGCTAACTTTTTCGGCGCATTTTACGTATCAAATATATGTTGTAAAGGAAGTAACAAATCAAGATGATGAATTTTTCAAAAATTGTACGTGTCCGAAGCAGAATTGATAGCAAATGTTTGTGGTTAGTTAAAAATGTGAAAATGTATTCCTTCCACGTAATATCTAAAGTATTTAGAGGCTAAATATATATAGCTAAGAGTTATCTACCAAATGAACTGCATTTCGACTCGGTGAGAGAGAGTTTTTTTGAAAAAATGAGAGAAGGCGCCATCACGAATTCACCTTTTGTTGTAAAACTCTCCCTAATAAAAACTCTGAGGCATTCACCACGATATTGATTGTCGCATGTTCTCTAGGAAAGTAAAGTAAACATTGATTTGATATTACACTCTTAATATTATTAAATGCGTCTATTTCAATAATCGTTTTTTCATCAGATTTCACGTTGAATTTACCGAGTACGCAATTCAAAGGGCGTAAAATATTTCCGGCATTTGGACAAAACGGTGATAAAAATTAATCATACCAAGAAATTTTTCTAACTTTGTTATAGTTTTTGGTTATAAATATTTCTTTAGGGCTGCTACTCTTTCTTTCAAAGATTCTATTCCTTTTAAGCTGATTTTAGGTTCTAAAATAATTAATTCCGGTACCCCAAATTGACATTTTTCCCCAAATGGAAAGGTAATATATTCGAATAGCCTAAAGGTTGTGCATATTACTGTTTTGAGAATTTCGGCAAGATTAATTGGAATTTGGTGGTATGCTCGAATTAAATTATTCTTTGAGTATATTGATGTGCCATCTAGTTGAACAACAAAATCATGAATGTTGGGAATTGAATACTGATCCGGGATGGTGTGTTTGTTGAGAACTCTATAATCTCCGCAAGGTCTCCAGGTGCCATTAGGCTTAGGGACCATGTGGAGTGGTGATGACCAGTTACTCGAAGAGGAGCAAATAATTCCGAGTTGTAGTAGAGTATCAAATTCTTCTTGGGCAATTGTAAGTTTTTCTAGGGATAACCGGCGAGGTTTTGCAAAAACGGGTGGACGTTTTGTTTCTATGTTATGAATAGTTTTAATGTTTGGATCCTGAAAATTTCTTTTTGAATTGAATATGAAAAAAAAAATTGATAATAAATGTTTTATTACAGTTTGTATGTCAAGTGTAACTACCGTACATTGAAGGGTGGCTTAATATGTGTTTGTCGTTTACGCATGAGCGGTTCATCTTGCTAAAACGTTTTTAATTACAAATGTTTACTAAAAATTTAAATTTGTTTAAAATATCAACGCCAATGATAGGTTACCTCACATTTGCAATAATAAATAATAAAGTTCCAACTAAACTTGTTTACAAAACCGATATCTAAAGTCAGGGTTGCATGCCCCAAAATTAGAATTTTGGAATGACTGGTTGCTCGTAGATATCAAAAAAAAATGGTCAGAATTATCATTCTTTGAAAAAATAATTGACAAAAACTTACTTCACTACCTGTATCAACTAAAAATTATATATTATTTTGTAAATCTTTAACATAAAATGGATTACTTGATGTCCCAGTAGACAGCTCTGTTATCGTTAGTTTCTGTTGTTTCATTCGTTTTTTACCAGCTGCATTGACTGACGCATTTCTTTGCTTTATTACCAAATTTTTCATGGTACCAACAATAACTGAATTAATTCGGGCATATGTTTTTTTCATAGCAGAGTGTAAACATTGTTGTGACCTAGCCTTGAGTTCAGCTAGCTAGTTTTTAATAATTGTTATCTTCTGCTTTATGAATGGCAAAAATTGTCTTGTCATGAGATAGTTAAATCATATTGTCGGCTAGATCTGCTTCTTCTTTTCAGTTATTTTGTTTTTATGGGCTGCTAAAGCAGGTCGTATATTGGAAGGTAATCGCTTGAGAAATATTTCTTTGAAAAAGCTATCTTTAATATAATACACAATGAGTTTATATGAAATTTTGTTTATCCTCTTGCTATTAGAGGGTTCACTATTACAAATGGGTGAATATGAGGATGGACAAGCTAAAACTCTAAGGTAAAATATATACGTTTTCCTGAGGATTTTCCATTGTTTTTGCTTATTTATTCAGCTTTTCAAAGGCAACGTTTCTAACTAAACAAAGTTTTCAACTTCAATTTTACTATATTATACAAAAACTAGAACATGTTCTGGTGACACTGTAGTTTCTTGAAATGACTGGATCATCCAAGAACTGCTACAGTAGGTAATTATTTTACTCTTTGGGCAATGTTTTTAAACTCGATTCCGAATGACGTCATATTTTTTACTTAAAACTTTCCTTCCATTATTAGCATGTATGAAAGATTTATGAAGATGTCCGAAGACTGTTAAGGATATACAAGGAAATAATATATGACGTTTTATGAGGATTTATTTCTACCAAAAGGATGTAGCTGTACAACATTTAGGTCCGTGGTTTTCTCCTCGAGTGGGATTATACAAGTGTTTTCTACCAAATGGTAGGTAATTCCTCTTAATTTAACAATTATTTTAATTATTCTTGGAGCCGATAATTAGACTCAATGTTTTGTTTAAGCAATTTTTAATAATAATCAACAGTTTAAAAGTATTAAAATTTAGAAAATCACTACTTAACAAGTATTTTTTTTATTACTATTGGTGTTAAAATCTAAATTACCATAAGTAATGTCATGAATATTAAAATCTCCAATGACATAAGTATTGTTAATGCTAGTAATTTATTCCTGTAAAAAATTAAACGCCAATTCATAGAGACCCGTGAAACTATTCGGTGGTATGTATACAACATTCATTAACTTTTTTTGTAGCTATTTATACTGTCAAGATTTATAATCGTTTTTTTCGAACAATATATTTTTCTCCTCTTGTTACTCATATATTTTTATAATTTTATTTCAGTTCATTCAATACCTTAATTTATGGTCTGCCGTATACCATATTTTGATATTTTAAAGTTACTGTAACTTGAGTGAAAATTGTAAAATATTAAGAGGTAGAATAAAGTAGATACAACATTAACACTATTTTGTTATATGTGACAGATTAACGCACTTCGAGTGACAAAAAAGTGTAATGAAAACGGCGTCTTGATCGCACTTTGATTTATTTGAAGTCAATAACTTTAAATTTGAAGACTGACGGAATGACAATAATTTAATATCATTTAAATGAAACTATTTAAAAAAATGGAATTATTTCTCACCACAACTGACTAGCTGCACTAGCTCCAGTTTGACATATGACAGTAAAAGAGTAATGCAAAGGTGCGACACTTTAGCATCGTCATATCATCTCCTCTTTATTCTATCTTAATGGTCATAGCACCCTAGAACATTTTTTTTCATAAATCGAAAAATATTTGACAGTTTTTAACGATCTTATTATCATCTGCTAGGTAAGTTACTGATATAAAAATCCGTGTATGTAATATTAGTAACACAAGAGAGTTACATTTAATCCAGATAAAAGATTTAGTGAAAATGGTCATCAAAAATATAACAGTGCGGACAAAACGCCAAACTTTATCTTCAAAACATAGTAAAAATAAAAAAATTGCAACCTTTTAATTTAATTAATAGTATTTGTAAATATCAAAAGCTAAGCTTCCTTGGATGAAGATGTGTCTTAGTAATAAACAGAAACACAAAATTTAAATATCTGGATGTTAACAATAGTGTAACGTATGTTTATTTTAAAAATAGTTTATAATTACTCTTCCAGCTAAAATAGTAAAAAACTCACATGAACGCATGATAACACAAATAAAAAATAAAAAAATTAAAGCCAAATTACGAACCTATGATTGGAGTTATATGCACAACTCAGTGGATGTAGAAAATCTCACAGAGATTTTCATAAGTGGTTTAAAAAAACAAATAAATGAAAATACTAAATTAATAAAACCTAAAAGAAATGAAATTAAAAGCAATTTATGGATAACTGAAGGGATTATTAGTTCAATTAAAAGAAAAAATGAATTATATAGATCCTACCAACAAAATTTTAATAATTAGGAAATAAAAAGTACTTTTGTAAAATATAGAAATAAATTATCGAAACTGATAGCAAAAGCGAAGAAAAATTATTACCAAAAAGAAATAAATAAACATAAAAATAATTCAAAGGAGTTGTGGAACACAATTAAACAAATCAATAAAAGCAATAAAACATTAGAGAAATATTTGATGATAAATATAGTATAGTAATAGAAAAAAAAATGTGGCAAATATATTTAACAGCTATTTTTCAAATGTCGGTGAGCTATACGCAAAACACCTTATAAAACTAAATACTCCAAATCCACGTCCTACTTTTAATCCTTACAACTTTTTCCTGAAACCTGTAGACGAAAGAGAATTTAAAGACATATTTAATTCACTCAAACCTCACAAGGCACCGGGTTCCGATAACATTAAGATTGACACCATAAAGCACATTGCTAATGTAATAAAATAACCCTTTATATTTATAATTAACAAAATTTTTGAAACGGGTTCTCACTTTAAGCAGTCAATAGTAATACCAGTTTATAAAAAAGGAGATCGGAAAAATGTATGCAATTACAGGGCAATTTCTTTAATTACCTGTATAACCTGTATAACTAAGATTTTCGAATCATCTTTAAACGATAGGTTAAATAGATTTTGTACTAAACATAATTTAATTTCTAATAAGCAGTATGTCTTTAGAAAAGGTATATCACCAATAGACACCATAACTAATTTGGCTTCAAAAATGAACAAATTAATAGATACAGGTACCCCTACAATAGGTATATTCCTAGATTTGGCCAAGGCATTTGGAACTTGGAAAATATAGGAATTAGAGGCATAGTACACCAACTAATGACAAGTTATTTTGAACATCGAACTCAAACAGTATCAATTTAGTGATCTAACTGACGTATCGTTTGGTGTGCCTCAAGGAACTATTTTAGGTCCACTTTTATTTTCACTTTATGTAAATAGTTTGCTAAATCTATATATATCTGGAGAAATTACTTGTTTTGCTGTCGACACAGTTATTCTGTACAGTTCTCACACATGGCAAGAATTGAAACAATATTGAAGCGGATATGATGAAAATAATTGAATGGTTTAATAATAAGTTGTTAACAATATCAATAATGCTGATACTAATATAACCAAAACGAATCATATCAAATATTTAGAGGTTATTATTAATTGTAATTTAAGGTGGGAAAAGCATATTCAAATTATTACAAAAACATTGAGATGTCTACTTTTTAAATTTAAATATTTTAGTACAATCTTAAGTATAAATCACCTAAAAATAATTTACTACTCACTTGTTAAGTCTAGGCTATAGTATGGAATGCAAGCATGGTGTGGGATTTATCAATTTCATCTAAGGGAGATAATTCAGGAATGTATACTAAAAATTATACTCAAAAAAATCTCTTATTTTTTCATCAGATTTACTTTTTCAAGAATCTCAAGTGCTTGATATTTGCCAACTATTCGCTCATACAATCTTAATTTCAGCATTTTAAAATAGAAATAAAGTACTACACGATATTGATCTTAGATATAGTACTAGACAAAAAACTTCTTATTTCGTTAAAATTTCGTCGTCAAGAAAGACTGTAGGACAAAGGTGTTTTAGGTACTTACTTGACACCAAGGCTTTTTAATTCATAACCAGAAATTTATAAAATATACCCTAAAACAATTAATTCCACAATTTTCATAAAAAAAATTTCAAAAAATTTCTAGCTAATACTGAAAGAAAATATATACTATACATGATTCAAAATAATTATATGTCAAATAGGTAGGTACATACTTTTTATTTATTTTCATGTCGTCCCTATATTGCCACTATGTATCCGCAATCTCTAGAATACTGTATACCTAATACAAATACTAAATTGACCTTTGATCAAATTTGGTATTTTTAATTGAGGTATTATATTTTTTACTAACATTCATTAGTTGCAAATAAACAAGTTTAACCCGTGCACAACCATTGGTTTTTACGGGATCACCATTGTTTATTTACATCTATCCCCTTTAAAAATAAATTTGTATTTTTGTTTTTTTTTGTGTAAACAAACATTACTATTTATTTAAATAGTACATTATATACCTAGGGTGAGAAGTGAGCTATTAGTTACCGAGCACTTTTATATCCTGAGGCGCGTAGCGCCGAGGGATATAAGTAATTTCCTAATAATTTGTTAAATATTTCAAAATACCAAGCAGAGTGGAGCGTGTTTCTAATCAGACTGGCTTTATTTATGTAAAAATTTGGCATGTGTCAAATTTTGATGTGATTCTAGGAAATATCCCATTGCATTTTTGATATTTTAGTGACATTGATTTATTGGTATTAATTAATAATTTTTGAAGCCTATTGCCGGTGTTGAATTTCCTAGTTATTATATATTTTTACTATTAACACTGATATATATTATCATATTTGATTTGCTTAGATTTTGATAAACCCAGCTTTAGTTATTTCCTACTTATTTTTCAAATATTTCAAAATATCAAGTAGTCTAGGAGTTTAGTTGTCAAATTAACAAAATGAAACTAATGAAATTTAGTTTTATTATTTACCTAGGTGTTTTTTTATTATCATTATTTAACTAGGGTGAGAAATATTACTTCTCATTAGAGGAATGGAGTGAATAATGGAGATTTCTCATGTTAGTAGTAAAAAAAATTAATTTATTTATAGTTAAGCACCATTATAATTCACATTTCTAATTTATTTAATAATGTACCTTTACTCAACAAAATTTATTTGAATCTTAAACAGTAAAACAATCCATTCATTTACAAAAATGTAAATTCCTAGAAAAAATCCATTTATGCACGGACTGCGTACAGAGAAAACATTCCAGTCGACTCTCAATCGCCAGCGCCAGACGCAACGGCAGCATTGAAGATCAACGAAGAACAGGACCGAACTGGCCGAAAACGGTTTCGCATGACAATAAATTTGGTAGAGACAGCAAAACTTTACTAGATATAATAAGGCATTTAAGATCCAATGTTTTAAATTAAAAAAAGCATGAATTTAATAATACTAAATAAATATTTAATGTGCATTGAAAAATAACGGAAATAGCTCAAATCGTAATGACCGTTTTCTTCGTCTCTGTATTTAGCATATTATAATAAACTCAGAATTGAATAGAAACTTTAACGAGACATAAAATTTTGAGTTTTATTTGTTACGATAATATTATTATAGGTTCAAGGAGTGCACCAATCCCGAAAAACTGTTACGTTTTCACTCGAAATCAACAAAATCAATACAACTTTTGTCGATCTCCGAAATTAGCATGAAAATTCCGAAATCTTTAAATCATCAATCAAAATCATGACTGAAATCATCACCGAAATCACTTAAATATTTTTCTCCTCGAAATATAAATAAAGTAAGTGGTGAATCAAAAGAACAAGAGAAGAACAAAAAAAGTCGATCCAAAAATAAATGAAGAACCATAGAAGGTATTTTATTCCTCAAAAAGAAAATTTGTAGATGATTCTACAAAAATGATGGTTCATTTTAACTTATATGAGGTGATTTCTGTAAAACCGCCGCAGATAAGTTAAGGGGATTTCGACAAAAATCACTAAAATCATATAAAATCATGGATGTGTTATAGTAGGCAAGATTTTTGGGTGTTATGGGTTCTCGAAATACGCATACTCGACGAAATATAAGATTTTATTATTTGATTACATGTCGTGTATTAACCTTTTTTTATAAAGATCTAGAATATATACTTTTGTCAAAATT